TCATTCGTATTAAAGACGGATGATTTAGAGCAGTGAAAGGACGTGCAGATACACAAGTATTGGTTAGGCTAAACAAACTAGATTAGCAGTTTTTTGGTCAAGTTTTCAAAAGAATCAAAGGGGTGGACGTTTGGTATTCATTGTCAAGTTTTAAACACGAATTTGTTAAATTTTATGAAGTTCTCCTGATTAAAGAGCGTTTAGTGTCACGTGATTTTAACTTAATCAATTAGCATATATAATGATGTTTGATACGCAAGCCCTCATTAAGATAGTTTGAGGCCCTGGCGCACTAATTTTTCTTTGAAGCCCCTTGAATAGAGTGCAAGCAGATATGAAGTTAATTGTAATTAATACATATTAAGTTAATTACAGAATATGAGCTAATTATTCGAAATAAATTAGAATGTGATGCATCTAACTTTTAAGGATGATATATTAAAATTAAACGATTGTAATAATAATTATTTACTTGTACAACATGGCTAGTAAAAATGAATTCGGCACAAAAAAACAATAGAGTTATTGTACAATATTACGGAAGCATACCAAAACATTACTTTAAAATCGTTTTATTTATTTATTATTGTTGCGTCATCGAGGTCACGTGACTAGTGTCACGCCCCCTGCTTTCTGGAAATATCTTGTATCTTCGTGAATTGTCGGGAGATTACTAGATATAGGGTAGTCTGGTATATATAAGAGGGTGACAACGTGACGGGACAATGATGTGTGTGTAGGTAATGAGTAACTGAACTGCAGTCAGAGAGAGACGTATTGTTGAAGTCTAGTTCGTGATACGTGAATTATAGTTTGTTATAGCGCAACTGTTGAAGTTGAGTGTATCGGTAAAGTTATATTCAGAAAGAATAAACCAGTTTTATTAAGTAAGGACTTGTGTCGCTAAAGTTTCGTCGGAACGAAGTCACGGAAAGTTAATTAACAAACGGAGACGTAACACTGTAAAGATGAAACATGTAAAATTGATCCACAAAAGAATTTCTAATACCCATTTAGACTGTCTTTTTTTTTATCTGCATTTGACAGTAAAATGTGGTAAATGGACCTAATATTCTACCCTTCCAAAAAATACACTTTCTTTTTTCACATTGTAGTCTGTGAAAGATCAGACATGCTAGTCTGTTTATTCACCTGAATAGCACTTTATGCACATAGGCTTAAACAGAGGGATCAGAAAACACTGGTTCAGGCATAACGTTCCTTAATTTTTAACTGAGGATCAGATGAAAGTCAACCAATTAGCAGCATCTGCCACCTGAGGAGGCTACTCTTAAATGAATAGTGGAGTCCACTGCCACTCTTATAATGCATCCACTGCTCAAAATGTGAAGAGTTTGGTGGCACCACACTCGAAACTAAAGATTCTCAAATCCACAATCTGATACACTAACAACTACCATACTCAGACCCAGACATGTCAGTCACATGCAAAACAGTTTAAAATCTTAATTTTTAAGATTAATTTCAATCACAGACAGTGCCTGAATACTTGGAATGTTTATCATGCTTTTCTTAATGTTTACACTAATGACCATAACATCTTCAAACATCATGTCTACATTACACTGTTTACACTAATGTCCATAACATCTCCAAACATCATGTCTACATTACACTGTTTACACTAATGACCATAACATCTTCAAACATCATGTCTACATTACACTGTTTACACTAATGTCCATAACATCTCCAAACATCATGTCTACATTACACTGTTTACACTAATGACCATAACATCTTCAAACATCATGTCTACATTACACTGTTTACACTAATGACCATAACATCTCCAAACATCATGCCTACCTTACTATGTTTACACTAATGACCATAACATCTTCAATCATCATGTCTACATTACACTGTTTACACTAATGACCATAACATCTCCAAACATCATGCCTACCTTACTATGTTTACACTAATGACCATAACATTTCCAAATATCATGTGAACCTTACTATGTTTACACTAATGACCATAACATCATGCCTACCTTACTATGTTTACACTAATGACCATAACATTTCCAAATATCATGTGAACCTTACTATGTTTACACTAATGACCATAACATTTCCAAATATCATGTGAACCTTACTATGTTTACACTAATGACCATAAAATCTCCAAACATCATGCCTACCTTACTCTGTTTACAATAATGACCATAACATCTCCAAACATCATGCTTATCTTAATGTTTACACTAATGACCATAACATCTCCAAACATCATGTCTACATTACATTGTCTACACTGATGTCCATAACATGATTAAACAGCATATCTACTTCATGCTGTTTACACTTTATCTTCCAATCGATAAAATGCAGTTCAAGTTCAACATCAACAACAGAAGAAAACATTCACTTACTTGAATGAGCTTGTAATGGTCATGACAGGTTAAGCTTAAAAAATGATGACAAAATGAGAAACACTAATTTATCCTGGAGAGGATACAGTGAGTTGCAGCTATGTGTAGCTCTCTTTCCAGAAGGCATGAATCAAACACACAATTTAACTATATAGCCCATGTTCTCTACCCATAGGTATTCAAACAATATAAAACATATGGATGAAGTGTGGTCCCTCCTGGCATCCCAGTGGTGCTGGACTCTGCATGAAGTTGTCTTACCACAAATGTTTTGTTAGAAACTAACACGATAAGTGTGCTTCTCAATGTACTTACAATTTTTAGCATTAATATTGCTGGGTCCTAATCCACTCATGAAACATAGTAAACAGGTTGATGACAAGTTTAAATGTATTGTATCATGACCCTCGTTTTACCATATGTAATGTACCATGAAATAAAGTGTTGTTTCAAAACTGTTCATTAATGCTACAAGATTAATATTATTTAATGTAAGTAGAATATAGGGATTGCTTCTATTCAGAGGTTATTTACAGTGGTAAAAAGAGTGTGAAACACATGATAGATTGTACAATATTAGGATTATATTTCTAACAGATATGTTAACTACATGAACATTTTTCAAGAACAACTTTACCTGACAGTGAATGGCCAATTAATATATCAATGATAGTCAACAATTATCCACATTTATAATTACTGTGATGAAAAACTTAATTTCTAATAATTTAAATCAAAATATTCTCAGTGATTTAGAGCATTATTTTTCATGATAGGCATGAAAACAGCTTCTGTACTTTCAATAATAAAAATAATATTGTATAGTGCTTCACATCAGCATCTTTTACTCCACACTAAACTTTTGATTATTCAAGAATAGCATAACAAAAAGTTTAAGGTTCTCTTAAAATTGTAATTTTTGCTGAATTGAATTTGTTGTTAATTCTTTTGGTTCATATTATGAAACATATTTTGCCAATAAAGTAAATAAAGGAAAAGTTTGAATATTAGTGACTTTAAGAACAAAAAAAAAAATCCAAGAATTAATGTCAAAGTTCAATTTTTTTTTAAAAGACAGTTTTTACTAGGAATAAATAAATTGTGTTTGATCAGATATACAAATGTAAAAACTTGTGTCAGCACACACAAGTAGTTAGGCTTAGTTGCATAATACAGTAGAAATACAGTTGATCAGTTGAGCTCAGACATGGACCATCAAAACTGTTATGTCACTGGCTAAGCAATTTCAAAAATTAGCATCATATGTTACAAGTGAAATTACACAGTGTTAACATAGTAAACATTCAGTGCAAGTTACATCTGCATATAACAGAAAAAGACAACTACATATTACCAACAACTTACTCTCTCTGCTATTCTCCCACAAACTTTCGGTCTTCATCATGTAAATGCCCCTTCCGATTTAGGGGAGGGAAGAGGGTTATCAGAACAAACGACCTCTTATTTTATGCTTCCCACAATTCCTTAAACACAACAATATAACAAGCCATTCAAACTGTATATTATTATTTTGTTTCCAAACAAGCAGAGCAGAAACAGCAGTGGAGCTGGGTGATTAATGATTCATTAGAAGTAGAGCTGAGTGATTAATAATTAATTAGTAGTAGAGCTGAGTGATTAATAATTAATTAGAAGTAGAGCTGAGTGATTAATAATTAATTAGAAGTAGATTTTGGTGATTAATGATTAATTAGAAGTAGAGTTTGGTGATTAATGATTAATTAGAAGTAGAGCTGGGTGATTAAGGATTAATTAGAAGTGGAGCTGGGTGATTAATGATTAATTAGAAGTAGAGTTGGGTGATTAATGATTAATTAGAAGTAGAGTTGGGTGATTAATGATTAATTAGAAGTAGAGATGGGTTATTAAGGATTAATCAAAAGTAGAGCTGGGTGATTAAGGATTAATTAGAAGTAGAGCTGGGTGATTAATGATTAATCAGAAGTAGAGCTGGGTGATTAAGGATTAATATCAATATAATAAATTAACTGAGAGCATTGGCTGATGACATAGAGTTGTATCATAAAATAATTGATCAATCAACATCATGAGTAAATCAATTAACATCACAAAAATAATCAACTAATCAAAACTAGAATTTTTTATTATTACTGTTTTGATTATTCCAACTGTATAAGTAATTGTACTATTGTCATTATGATTTTATATTATTATTTTTGATTAATTCAATGTCGTTCACCTTAACTGATTAGTACCATAACTCATAAAAATAGTCAACTAATTGGAATTAGTGTTACTGATTATTCTGCTTTGAATATTACAAATATCTAAGTTTCAATTAGCTAAATGTAATGATTAATGAGCCAATGACTGATCAACTCGAAAAGTCCACTTGTCATTTTGTTCTCTGCAGAAGTAGCATGTTTTGCAGTTGTTTAATAATACACTGAAAATGTTTTAGCCTTTCTCTACTGCCATTTGTACGTATATACATGTAATCCATTTAACGTGGATCTACATGAGTTATTATAAGTTATATTTCATAAGGTGCACCGCTAATAAAGATAAAAAATGAATATTAGAATATTTCTTACCTGTTACTTATCAACAGACTTACCAGTAGACAATTTGGTGTATCGGAACTGAACAGTACACGTTCCTCTTCCACCCGAACGAGTGGTAACAATAACATCGCCTCCCTCAATGCCCCCAGTCGCACGAACAATGATCTTACTGGGAGACTTCCATTCTACATACAGCAAACACTCAAATCCACCTATTGTCAAACCTTCAAAAAAATAAAACTGTAAGAAAGCAACACCTGATAGTATCAAAACAAATATTCTAACACAAAAAAATTATATATATATATGACTTAATAATTATTAAAACTGCCACTTGTACACCTACAGAACAGTAGGTTTTAGACAGAAGCATATTGACAAACCACCAATACGTTCAAGAATATTCTAAACAACATGTGTTGTAAGACACAAAAATAAATGCTACCAGTAACTACAATGATAAACACTGACGGTTTAGAATGAGATAGTCATAGTTTTGCTCTAAAACACAAAACATTTTGAAAAAAAAGTATGTACATAGTGTTTGGGCTGTGGTACCTAAAAAAGAAGATAAAAAAATGCTTATGTGGTTTTTCAATCATGTCTAACACCAATAATGGTAATTAATTCCAATAGATTGCATGTAGTTACATCATTAATAACAAATATCTGCGACAGTTCTCTCAAACTGTTTCAAAACTTTAAAGGTTTTTTTTCACTCAGCATATTAAAAGTTTGTGAAAAAAATCTTTTCAGACCCATGTTTCAGCAAAGATGTGACCATACTGCAGGTTAATGACACTATATAAGAACAGCTTCCACGTCTATTGCAGCCCTTTGTATTACTTCCCCAATTCTTCATTATGCTCAAATACTGTTTTATTATCACTCATTATTGCTTGACATTGAAACTGATATTATAAAGGCTTCTGTCAAGGTCACAGATGTCAATATTATACCACACACATAAACTTTCTGTACACACCCTCCACTACATTTGGATGTCAGCTTCAAAACAATATTTAACTAAACCATATGTACAGAAATCCAGGAGTAAGAAGTAAGATAATTTTATATGAAAAATATGATGGCATGAACACAAATGTCATTCTTACTGGTTTAATGAAATCTTACTATAGACTTAGATGTGTGACTAGGTGTTTTATTTTGATGGGTTTAATGAAATGTTACTATGGACTTAGATGTGTGACTAGGTGTTTTATTTTGATGGGTTTAATGAAATGTTACTATGGACTTAGATGTGTGACTAGGTGTTTTATTTTGATGGGTTTAATGAAATGTTACTATGGACTTAGATGTGTGACTAGGTGTTTTATTTTGATGCAGCCTTACCTTCTTCACACCTTGCTTAACAGTTCAGGAATTTCAATTCACATAATTGGTATCAATCAACACAGTTTACCTTTGCTTAATAAAGTGTAGATTTCCTATTATAAAAGAAATCAGTGGTAACCATACAACTCAATGAAAGATGCTTCTTTACATTCTATGTTGGAAAGTCTTCTTCACCTTCTGGTTGGTAACTCATTTCTTATCACTCATTCAAGTGCACCCAAGTCATAAAAACAATGTTACATGAGCAAGATCTTTGTAAGTTATCTTTAGCACAATTGATTGTAATAAATTTAACTTGTCAGCAGTCACTTTGAGGAGAGGGATAATGAGACTTCACACTGTGGCAATGACAGTAGCAATCCTCCATGTGGATATTGAGTTGATTTTGGATTTTCAAATGGGTGTGATCCTCCTACCTTGCCAATGCTATTTATCCTTCTGATGAGAAAGCTTGGGAAATTGGGAGAAAACAAAATGATAGGAGAGCTAAAACAACATGGATCTTGGAAATCGGTGATCTAGAGCATAACAAGTTAAATAACAGTTTAAAGCTAAGTCAGTCAAATTTAGAGGAAAACACAGTATATTAAAAAATTAACTTAGTTGTTTCTACTCTATTATAAGAAGTATTAAGAATAAAATGGATGAGGCTAGGGCTCTAGTTGAAATGGAATACTGATATAATGGAAATGAATAAACTTGGTTAGATTTGGTTAACAATGATAATAGTTATCTGTTGAAATTCCAGGTTATTGAAATTTTAAAAGATGATGTGAGGTGGTTCTTTGTATACGGGATAAACTGTAGACTGTTAGGATTGAAAACATAAAAAGTGGTAGTCAAGAGGTTAATCTGTACGTGTTACAATAAGGGGTTTTAAGGATAGAAAATTTTAAATTGCAATTGTTATAAGACATCTGATCAGACAAAAGTGGCCAATTAGAAATTTTATTATGGCTGGTAATAAGAATACTGATGTAACAATCATTAGTGTCTTCAGTTCTATGAGAATATGGCTGTTAATAAGAATACTGATGTAACAATCATTAGCGTCTTTATTATGAGAATATGGCACCAGCCATATTCTCATAATAAAGACGCTAATGATTGTTACATCAGTATTCTTATTACCAAATAAGAATACTGATGTAACAATCATTAGTGTCTATTATGAGAATATGGCTGGTAATAAGAATACTGATGTAACAATCATTAGCGTCTTTATTATGAGAATATGGATGGTAATAAGAATACTGATGTAACAATCATTAGTGTCTTTATTATGAGAATATGGCTGGTAATAAGGATACTGATGTAACAATCATTAGTGTCTTCAATTCTATGAGAATATGGCTGTTAATAAGAATACTGATGTAACAATCATTATCATCTTCAGTTCTATGAGAATATGGCTGCTAATAAGAATACTGATGTAACAATAATTAGTGTGTTCAGTTCTAGATGCATTATATAGGATTATATTGATTCAAGAAGTAAAGGAAAGATTTCTTGAAGTGATTTAGGATTATTCCTATGGCAAACAATTAGATCTAACCAGAAATAAGGAATGCTACTCCAGATATATCACCAAGTGCTAAAAAGTATATTTTTGCAAGTGTCGAAGTAGAGGAACATTTCGAGAAAAGTGATCATTGGCTTCACTGCATAATTAGAATTGATGTTTTGTTACATGTTGAGAGAAAAAAAAGAAATTTCAGTTATTAATTTTCATAAAGCAAATTTTGAAGCCAAGATCTATTGTTAGAGAATTAGAACAATGAATTAAAAGCTGATGTTAGACAGACTTAAAAACAATTTAAAAATAAACTTTTTAATTCAGGACAGGCATGTTCCTAAAAGGATCAAAAGAACAATGAAGATCAAATCTAATTTGTTTTTGAAAGATGTAAAATCAAGGATAAGTGCCACAAATTTAACAAGTTTAAAGTGACAAACAGGTTGGCAGACTTACAGAACTATAGCCTAGAAAAGTTAGGGATTTGGTTAAAAATGGCAGACTTACAGAACTATAGCCTAGGAAAGTTAGGGATTTGGTTAAAAATGGCAGACTTACAGAACTATAGCTTAGGAAATTTAGGGATTTGGTTAAAAATTAAATTAGGAAATATAAAGAGATTATGTTTGGAAATGTTAAATTTACAAGAAAGGATTTCATTAAGTATACTAAAGGTAAGCAAAATGTTAAAAATGAAAATTAAACTCTTAAAGGATGCTGTTGGCAAGGTTTTCTGTTGAAGACTGAGCTTTTAAGTGTTTGCTTCTGTTTTAATTTGGAGGGGCTTGATTTAAGTGTTCAAAATATTTATGGATTTGTTTGGACAGACTTCATACAAATTGCCTGTTTCACTGATGGAAGGAAATTATTAGAAATACAAATCTGAATATTAGAGATAACAGGTTAAATTCTTCTTTGGGGGCAAAATTCTGTCTGATGGATATATATAGACATGAAGGACTATATTTAAGTTTTATTTTTTGTGGACAGTCAATAGCTATGTAGGCCAAATGGCTCTTAACACATTTTCTTCCATTCTTAAAAAAGATAAAACATTAGTTAACAGTTTTGAAAATCATAAACATCAAGAGTTAAATCATTAATTCAATTAACAACTTTTAATTTCTCTAATAGTCTAATTTATAATACTAAAAAAGTTTTTGATATATTCCACACACATACACAGATATTATGCTTATATAGTTATAGCACAGCTGCTTATGTTATTCAATGTTTTTGATGTTTGTGGATTTTATGTGAACAGCCATGCAGTTGTTTAAGCTATATTTCATGCCAAATTGCTTCCAGATTTAATCTCACAGCACCAATTTTTTGCAACTTTTCTGGGGTGAACAAACCCCTAGGACCCCATAGCATTAGCATGCTGATTGTGCTTTGCACAATACGTGTTGGTTTTTGATCTCACAAAATTAGAACCCACCTTTCAAATTTTCTGCATACAGGCCTGTATTCGTGGGTTTTATTAACTTTGTCCAAAAAGCTAAGAAATTTCTACTTTATTTGAAAAAGTATAATGAATTACTTCAGTTTTTAAAAGTCACTGAATTGTTTGTGGCTTTTTACTCTTAACTTAATGAATGAAATCCCATTAACTGTAGAATCATGAGAATGATAAGTACATTTCAATCATACCCACAACTAAATAAAACTTTATGTTGAAAACGTCTTAAACTCTTTGCTATGATTGTTGTTCATTTTTTACAACATACACATGTACACCGACAATTATTGACGTATTATACATATTTACTTTTAACATCCTGTGATGATAGGCCCAAATTCTCTCCTCTCACAGTCACTTTAGTTCCGGGTGGCCCTTCTTTTGGAGAGAGACCTGTCACTTTTGGTGCCGCCATAAAATAAAATTCCAATTGAAATAAGCTTTATGTCAACTCTTTGTGAGAGTTAAGTTCAGTCATGTCTGGTTCATCATGCACAAAACGTTCTTAATTTTTTTCTTCTTAAAACAACAAGATATATATTTTCCCCAGATATGTCGCACTTTAAATAAGCAGGCTTCTCCTACCCATCCGCCCATCTATACATCTACAGTGGTGCTACCTATAAATAATATTTTTCATAACTAGTGTTACTCTTATTAACACTTTATTGTTGTCAGCGGCTAATATTTAAAATATTGTTGCGTCAGCGAAGTCACATGACTAGTGTCACGCCACGTTTCTAGAACTATCCTATACCTTGGCGAATGCTCTAGCATTTACTAGATATAGGGAAGTCTGGTATATAAAAGAGGGTGACAACACGACGGGGCAATAATGTGTGTGTAGACAATGAGTAATTGATCTGCAGTCAGAGAGTATTATTGAGCACGTTCGTTGATATAGCGTTTGTTATAGAGCGACTGTTGAAAATAAGTGTATCGTAAAGTTGTATTCGGAAAGAATAAACCAGTTTTATTAAGTAAGGACTTGTGTCGCTAAAGTTTCGTCGGAACGAAGTTACGGAAAGTTAATTAACTAACGGAGACGTAACAAACGATTTGTTGTGTGTTACACAAGGAGAATACATTGACCATCGAATTCATCAGCCCCAGACAATGGCAAGCC